TGCACTCTCATAGGGTAAATAATAGAATTGCTTCTATTTGGCACAATACAAATTTATATGTAGTTTAAATGATTTTAATTTCTTGGCACTCCATAAACTCGTTGTAAAGAGGAATAATGTTTTCTTAAATTTGAACTATTCGTTTCAAAACTTTGTTTAGTATTTATATGTTTACTTTTGAAGTTTAGCAATTAATTTAATTAACTAATTATTTTAACTGCATTTCATTTAACACACGTTAAATTTACTTTAGATTTGTTTTGCCTACCTAAGTTTTATAGTTTGAATATTGTGTTTGATATTATAGCCACAAGAATTTTTAACTCCCTGTGGGATTGATACTTATGATACGTATACTTGCGTTATTATTACGGGTTTGACAGCTTAGAGATTTTAAAAGATAAAATTATTTATACTAAATTTATTTTTATTAGGATTGAACTACATATTTATTATTAGTGATGTCATGTGTGTATTGTAATATTGAAAGATATTTACAACACATCATAAAATCGTCCGCATCAAATTTTTTGTGTCGTTGCCGGTGAGTAACTATAAATTACTTTATAATTCAGAACATTTTATTTAAACTAAAAAACTTTATGTAGTTTAATTAAATATTTTATATTATAGTGTGTTTGCTTATTTTTATTGCTTATTGTGTTTGAGTATGCATAGTTTAAGATCGATAGATTTAATACCATACGATTCGGAGTTAGAAAGAATAATTAGAAAATTTTGAAAACAACAAAAAGAGATAGATAATTTGAACAAAATGGCTTACAACTTAAAAAATTGGAATTGAAAATGAACATCATCAGAGACCTTTACGAGATTATGTTAATCCTACAGCAGATTAAAACTGCCTATCTTAGCTACCAATTTATTTGAGCTTAAACCTGTTATTATTCAGATGGTACAAAATAATCAAATTGGGGGAACACCGACTGAAGATCCTAACTTACACCTTGCTAGTTTTCTAGAATTGTGCTTACATTTAATTATGATGGAGTGTCAAATGATGTCGTCATCAAGGGATAAAACTAAGATTTTTCTCTTTTTCATTAAGGGATAAAACTAAGATGTGGTTAAACTCGTTAGCACCTGGATCTATCAGAATTTGGGGAGACTTATCACAAATTTTTTTATTTAAATATTTCTCACCGTCCAAAACTGCTAAGCTTAGAAATGATATTACATCTTTTTGTCAATTTGACGGGGAATCAATTTATGAAGCTTGAGAAAGATTTAAAGACTTCCTTAGGAAGTGTTCACACATATGTTGCCAGATTGCTAAATAATTCAAACTTTTTATAATAGATTGATAAGATATTTTGAATCAATAATTGATGTTGTTGCTGGTGGATCATTAATGTCAAAACCATTTGATGAGTGTATTCTTTAATTGAAGAGATGACTGCTAATAATTTTCAATGGCCTTCTGAAAGGGTAAATCCAAAAAGAGTAGCTAGTATTCATGATTCTGATACAATATCTATGTTGGCTACTCAAATTGATGCAATATCTATGTTGGCTGCTCAAATTGATGCAATAACAAAGATGATAGATAAATATGTAGTGAATTATTCTCAGACACGTTCTGTGCTTAAGAAAAATTTATTAGGATAAATGATAGAATCTCAATCTTCGTATGAGACTTTAAATGCAATAAACAACCGATCTAATAATCCTTATTCCAACTATTATAATTTTGGTTGGAAAAATCACCCGAATTTCAGTTTGAGTAACAATAACTCTAATGTTGTAAATCCGCAATGGGGAACAATGTTGCGAACCCATTGGGAAACTCCAACAATCAAGGGAATTCGAACTACAAATCTTATTACCCTCTACGTTTAAATAACAATTTGCAGAGTAAGGAGAAGAAACTGTCAATGAAGAATTAATGTTACAAATGAGAAGTCAATTACAAAGTCAAGAAAATGCAATTAGAAACATGGAAAATCAATTGGGATATATCGCTACTACACTTAGTAATAGACCTCCAGGAATTTTGCCTTGTAATGTTGAAGTTAATCCTAAAGATCAGAATAATTAAGGATATTCAACTGAGAAGTGGAAAAGAATTGGAAACAAAAGTTCAAAAACAAGTTGAAGTTGAAGTTGAAAAAAAAAGGGGTAGAAAATGAAAATTCTAATGAAACTTTTCATATTGAGTCAGAATATCCTATCAAACCAATGAAAATTACTATAGAAAGATCACCACCTCCATTTCTTCAAAAAATCAAGCAGAAAAACAAAGACAACCAATTTACAAAATTTTTAGAAATATTGAAGAAATTGGCAATAAACATTTCATTTATTGAAGCCCTGGAACAAATGCCTTAGAAGCCGTCCTAGTCCCAGCAGAAGAACCCGCCCAACAAGAGACACCTAACCCCCCTCAAGGAGAACCACCAACAAACAATTGAGAAAGAGTGATTCACTTACATGAGAAGCCTGAAGATGGGTTGAACCAAGACAACGCCAGATTCCCCCCCACAGAGGAGAGGAACCAATCAATGTGGATAGAGGTACAGAGGCATCTAAAGAATGCTTTCTCCCTACGGGTCTCAGAAGTTGAACCCTTAAAGAAGTTTAAGATGCCCGACTTAGAATCATATAAAGGACGTTCGGATCCCAATGACCACCTTGCATCGTTTGAATCGTCCATATGCATGCTAAAAATTTATGATCCCCTCAAGTATAAGTTATTCTTCATAATGTTGAGATCAACCTCATTAAGATGGTTTGACGGGCTGTTCGCGGGTGTAATCACGTGTTTTATGGAGTTCAAGAAACATTTTCTATCGCAATTTGTCAGTACCCTAAGGCCTAAGAATAGCTTCCAATCATTATGAAAACTGAAGCGAGGACGCAACGAGAGCTTATAGAAGTTTATCACACGTTTCCAGAGCAAACGTTGGATGTCAAGGATCTAAAATCTGACATCGCCCAAGTTGCACTAACACAAGGAGTGAGGTCAAAGAGATTCTGTTTTGACCTCAAACTCACAGAGCCACCTAGGGCTATCAAAACGGCTTGTTGTTTATGAACAGCTCATGTTTGGCTCGTTAAGAAGCTCGTGTTCCGCTCGTTCGCTAAGTTAACGAGTCGAACACGAACCAACATTTGTTCGTTAATGTTCGGCTCGTTTTGGCTCAAAATACTACTCATCAATTATATATATATTGATGGGTGATATTTTTAAAAAAAATTAATTGGCTACAATGCTATAAAGATTTATATTCAATTAAAAATATTAATTAAGATAATATAATAAAAATTATTAAATTAGTTTCAAATGATGTTCTTATACAAACAATAATTTTTTGGATCTCGAGATCGTTCGTTCAATACAACGTAAATTGATACACCAAAAATATATGTATTACTCATTTTTTTGTGATATTGCACTTTAATGAAAGATATTTTTTTATGTTTTATTGTAGATTGTTGATTTTTAGGACTTGGAGCAAAAATGATAGAATTTGGAGTCAAAATAAAGAATTTAAAAAAATGTTCATCGCTGACGGCACCATTTGACAGAGAAGGCCGATTAAATTAAATGGTCTCTGGAGCCGACGCTGTCTGACTCTAGGCTTTATTTGGAGCCAAAATTGATAAGAAAAGTGACTCTTCCTGACATCTCATCGTCCAATTCAACCTTCTACGCACCACATATTTTTCTATTCCTCATTCCACAACCATTTAAAGTCAATTGTTCTTATAATTTAGAGTTTTGTGGTGAGATTAAGTGTGAATTCTTCTCTAAGAGTGTTGGAGAAAGAGACAAGTGAAAGATTTCTTCTTCCTACATTTCCTAGAAGAGGTTGCAAGGGATTTGCTTTGAGAAAGAGTTTCAGATAAGTGTTGTTTATTTATTAGTGTTGTACGAAATTTTATATATGAAATTTGTGTTTTGTTGTATCTTTTTCATGAAGTCTGAGTAGATTTCTTTATCTTTCTCCATACTATGAGATATGGTGAAATAAAGAGATAATTTAGATGTGCTAATGTTAAAATTTAAAATAAATTGTGATGGTCTTTCAATTCCGCTCTTAATTTACTTTTCGATCTAGTCAATTGAATTGTTAAAATTTGTTGTGAAACATATGACCCGGGAAATGGAGTACGAGTTCCACAACAGATTGAGAATCACAATTAAGTTCATGAAGGAGTATTTCGTTCATAAAATTAAGTGCAAATAAATAGGTAAATATATTTTATTGGGTGTAGAATTAGAAATTTCTAAGGTGACAAACTAAAAATCCCCAATTCGATTTTAGTGTTTAAAAAATAAAGTGAGAGTTAGCCTTCAGGGGAAGGGAAGTGAGAGCTTTGGAGTGGGAGACAGTATCCTCATAGTCTAACCACCTATTTAGGAACTAAACAATATCTAAACCATTTATCTCATCTCATTTCACCAAAAACCTCATTGTAGTAGGAACGATGTTTTTTCATATTCGAAAACTCCATCACATAAACATAGTTTAGTAGTTACAGTTTTAAACTCTGCAGTTAAGTTTTGCTAGTAGTTAATAATTTAGTTTTGTTAGCATCTTACACATTCGAAATTAGTGGCAGTAATTTCGTTTGATTTATGTTAATTTCCTATTCAATTTATCATTTCAGATTTAAACACTCCCCGTGGGATCGATGTTTGGGATATAAACAGAAAGTCTTATATTACTTGATAATGATATGTATACTTGCGTATAATCTCAATATTAAGAGCTTAACGTTATTATTACAAAAAAACAACATCAAGTTTTTAGCACCATTGTAAAGCTGAGTTAACTTTATAAATTTTACACAACTTTCTCGTCTTAGGATTGCTTTAGCCAAAACCAATTTCATCACTAGATTTGTTGAGTTTATTTCAGAAAATTGTGGGTCCCATTTATTCTCTTTAAATGAAAAATACATTTTCAAAATTAAACTATATTTCTTGAATTAAATCATTTTTAAAATTATTAAATCTTATAAATCAAAATAAAACCAAAGAGCCAAACATGAACTACTAGCTCATTCAAAGTTTTATTTATAACAATTTAAGACAATATATGAGTCCCCAAGATACGCTAAACATGTTTTTTCAGATCCATCAATTCCTGCATCAAATTCTGGATCTCCTCAAACGATGACCCCTCCTTGTCCACAGCTCTCTCGGCCATTTCCGCAAGCATCTTCGCCCTCAACTTCCTCTCCACCGCCTTCTCCCCTTTGCCCATCACCTCTCTCACCGCCGCCTCAATGGCATCCGCCTTCACCACAGGCCTCGCTTCAGCATCAAAAGTGTGCACCTTCGACCCCACCGCCACCCCAACCTTCACAACATCCAACAAAAACTTTTCATTATAGAATTGCTCTGCATACAACGGCCATGTCACCATGGGCGGTGGGTAACCCCGCACTAATCCCCTCTAAGGTCGAATTCCACCCACAATGAGTCACAAATCCCCCAACTGCAGCATGATTCAGTATCAACACTTGTGGCGCCCATTCTCTTATCACCAATCCCGTCCCATGAGTTCTCTTCTCAAATCCGTCCGGAACCCAATCGTGACCTTTGTCACTCACCACCCAAACAAACGGATGCCCTGCGGCTTCGAGCCCGAGCGCCATTTCTCTCAGCTGCTCTGCCGAGAAACTGCTACCGCTGCCAAAGCACATGTACACGACTGAGCCTGCTGGTTTTTTATCCAGCCATTTCAAACACTCGTTAGCGGAGGCTGACTGCTCCCTACCACTTGCTGTCTTGTTGTCCCCCACCTTGTAAAGAGAAGCAGGGCCAACGTTCCACGACCTCCCCACCTCTTTGCGATATTGATCAGCATATTCAGGCTCTAGCCCGTAGAAGCTGTTCACCAACGTCCCAAAATTCTTCGGTTCCAACTCCATGGCCTCATTAATAATCTCCAACAAGAACTCAAAGG